AACATGAGTGATGTGTGGGACAGTCTTGCAATAAGGTTTTCAAGACCAAAAAAATCCCAGTGAAGGTTTTATTATTGTCCAACCTTGTGGATATGCAATTAGATAATCAGATAATAATAACAATAACTGATATTCCTGTAGCAGTTTAAATTTTTCCAAGCCTGTGCACTTCCATGATCTTATTAAATGTTCAAGTTTGGAAAGATTCAAATTTGTAGAGACAAAATCATGAAGTGCGGTTACGAATACACACTCTGAAGCCAAGCCCAGGCCCACCAGTAGCTGTGAGGTCTCAGTTAGCGGATCCCTCAGTTCCCTCAACATCAGTGGGAGTGGTTGTACCTTCCTCGCTTAGATGTCATTAAAATTCAATGAGTTCGTAGATGGAAACTGCTCAGGACAGTCCTTGGAACTTCATAAGTACTCAGAAAAGGTTAACTGATCATTACTGTCACTGTCATTATCATATTTGTCATCATCATCTATGGTAGTATAAATATGAAGATGGGCTAGAGCCCAGGTCTGCTGACATCCAGTCTTCAATTTTTTTCAACACACATGCAGATACTCCATTAGTGTGGTTGTGACTCATAGAATAACTTGGAAATGCCACATTGTAGACCTATGTCCTCTTCTTTATTATTACAAAGTATATACTTCAATTGAAGATCTCCTATATTCTGAGGCAGATGTTCAGCTAAAGCAGGAAAATATTAGCAATTCCACATAAAGTCTCTTCAAAACTGTGCAGACAGAACAAGTGCACCTAATCATGGAAACTCTCAAATATTCAGCTAATCTGATCAGAAGCAGCTGGCTATTTTGTGTCTGTGTTATATAGTGTCTGTGTTGATATGACCTATAAGTGGGTCTGAACTTAATGCAGAAAATTAACATTTCAACCTCCACATCTTCCGAGATTGATTTTGTCCCACTCGCAGTGGACAGTGAGTTTCCTCTAACCAGCACCTGGAATCTGTAAGCAGCAGTTCACTGGAGAAGTACCAAAATCTGAGGCATGAAGATTTCTCCTGCAAATAAGTGGATTTCTGTTGACACAGGACTTTTTCAACCTTAAACTGCTGACATGTATATATGACTTAAAGAGACAGTGCTTTGATGTTAAACAACAACAACTTTTGGACTTGGAGACAGAAGATAAAGGTCCACGCCCCTTCTTCATGTTACCATGTGTGTGACACTGGCTGACAATGTAACTGCTCTCTGCCTCTGCTTGTACTTCTAGGAAAAATGAAGATCACACAGTTTTTTTTCACAGGTTGCTGTATAGTCTCTAACTAATTCTTATACGTGAAAACATATTGAGACATTGGTGTTATACTCAAGATCCTTGCTTCATGTATCCTCCTAGGATTCATGGGATCAACTTTGTAGTTCCCTTGGAATTTCTTCTCTCTTTCCAGTTAAGACTAATCGGTTTTGTTCAGAACAAAGACAGAAAACTGTCATAAGCATTATCAATTTATCAGGAAATGGTTTCACCTCCTCTTCCTGGCTCACAGGGTGATTCATTTTGAGAAAACCCTTGGGCTCAGTTCTGAAGACTGACCCATCATGGAGAAGGGACAGAATGGTCAAAGAAGCCACTGTGACCAGGTCAGTGTCTTGAAGGCCACCTGGAGCATGGCTTCTGCTTTCTGTGGCCAAGAAGGACATGATGATCCACTGCTGCTCACAGTTTAGATGTCGTCCGGAAATCATTTCATGAAAGACAATATCTTGTTTCCCTGGGCCCAGTCTCTTTCTCTTCCTCTACCATTTCTTCCCATATTACTCCCCATCCTTCAGCTCATATATTCCATAGGTTCAGGACTGCAGCCTAGTTTTACCTCTAGCCTAAGGAAGGCTTGATAAAAAGTCAAAAGTTCTGGCCAAAAAAAAAATCATAATTTAAAGCCTAAAGCTATAAATGCTGTTTAAATCCTCGGCAAATTTGTATTTTCTGCCCCAATGCACAGTACTATTAACAAAGCTAATCGAAAGTTAGTTACATGCAAATTGTGCTTTCGTTATAAAGTAATTAAGAATTGTCCTAAAATTTTAACCTGTTTCATATATTCATATGTCTATGCTCTCTAAAATGTGAATGCCTAAATGACACTGACTTAAAACCTAGTGAGCAATGGAAAAGGATCATTCTAAAATGCCTGCATGGTTTTGGCTATTGTCCTGACAGTTCTGTCTTTGCCAGGTGATATGTCAGTGTTGTAACATTCTGATACATTGCTCATTGTTGCAATTATTTTGTCAGAGTACATCTAGGTTTCAGTGCTTGATAAGTGTGAATAATGTGACTGAAAATCTTTAGTTTTCACTGAGTACTGATCAAATACACAACTAATTCTATTAAAGATGAACAGATTTCATTATTCTATCATATATATTCTGGGAGCAAGTAAACCATATTTTTAATTGAAATTCTTTTGAAAAGGGACTTTACATTGTCATTAGAAGATCCTGTGCAGACAGCATTTGTAAGTTTCTGGAGATGATCGTTTGAGTGTATTCAGAATATACAAAGTTTTTTAACTTGCTAACTATATACTTTAAAAAGTTCATCAAAGCAATTCCCACAATCTCTTTTAAGGACAAATAATGAGGATATGCAACTATCTGTTTTAAGATAATGCCAAATGACTTACATGAAATTAAAGATTTTATGTTTATTTTATTTACATCATTCTGTTGATATTTCCAAACGTCTGTGCACTGTCATTGTATCTGCTTTAGCCTTCCTTGCCCTTGAGATGCATTACTATCTCAAGGTGGGAGGGGAGTGTGGCCAGTGCAAGCCATTGTGCCCAGGTAGACTGTACAAAAAAGAAAGAGCTAAGAAAGGCTTTGTGGGTAGCCCCCTGGCCTGCCCACCATGGCGACCACCCAACCGAAAGGGCCTTTGCTTTTCTGCCATAGCTCACTCCTACCATTCCGCTGTGACCTTCCAGAGGGACCACGGGTAAATCCCTTAGCCACAGTTGTCACTGTCTTCCCAGTGCCCACCTTCTTCTCCTCCACTTTACTGACAGTCTCCTGGCAGCTTCCATAGCATAATGGAGACAATATGTTACTGACACCCAGAATAAAACTCTAAATGCATCTCCCCTCAGAGACTTCCTTATATTCAGTGATTAGTCCTATAATACGATCAGGATGGAATAAATGATTTTTTTTCCATGCTATTGGAACCTTTACCATCTGGTACATACTGTTTTCTCAGGACTGGGTTTCCTAAATTAAAAGTAAAGAGGCTGGACATGGTGGCTCACACCTGTAATCCTAGAACTTTGGGATGCTGAGGCAGGCAGATCACGAGGTCAGGGGTTTGAGACCAGCCTGGCCAACATGATGAAGCCCTGTCTCTACTAAAAATACAAAAATTAGCTGGACATGGTGGTGCACGCCTATAGTCCCAGCTACTCGGGGGGCTGAGGCAGGAGAATCACATGAACCCTGGAGGCAGAGGCTGCAGTGAGCCTAGACTATGCCATTGCACTCTAGCCTGGGTGACAGAGCAAGACTCGATCAAACACAAAAAAAGTAAAGGGATTGTGACCATCCTTTTGTTATGCCCTTTATGATTAACTTGTGGCTGGATGAAAACACTTTTATTTCCTTGCTTACCTTTTTTTCCAGAAACTGCATAGATTCGAAAATAATTGTACTAGCTAATTGGCATATTATTCAATATGACATATTGATGAAAATTTATCTTCATGTTGTTTCAAATTTCCATCAGAAAATTAGAGGGAATGGAGAGCTTTAAGTGCCAAAGATTTTATGAACCAATGTTACTTAAAAGAGGATTCATTATTTTTATGCACAGGTGATCCACATCATGTTACCTCTAGTGTCTCATTTGAAATATAAAGTCATGTTACATTCTTAAAAATAAAAAATAAGGAACTTGAAATTTGGTCATACTTATGAGAAGGGATACTATTGTCTAAAACAGCCAAAGAGGAGGATCTAGAATGATTTCATGATTATGCTGCAGTCTGTGTGTATACTATTACACTCCATTGAAAGGTGACTTTGTTCTATGGTGCAAAGAGACAGGGGTAAACTTGTATTGCTAAGTTCTTGCCACTAACACACTCTTCTTGTCTGAGTCCCCTCTTAAACACACGCAATGGGAAAGTAGCAAGCACATTCAGGCTCCTCCATACTTACTTGATCCCCAAAGAGAGTATTCAATTCTATCAAATAAAATGTGTTTAAAAAAAAAAATGGGAAAATGTTTGCAAGGATCTCATCTAAATAGAATATAAGAAAACAAAACAGAATTTCATATGCAGCATATAATTAAATAAGACTAGAACCTGATTCTTCATCCCTTATAATATCAGCTACATTCGTGGTACCAATTAAATGCTGTGTCTTGTCTTTGTTCTCCTATTGTGCATTGCTGTGTTGGTGAAGGTAACTAGTCATTGGAGATTATGTGAGACGACAGTTAATTCCACACTGTACAAAGAGCTATTAATATTTTAAACACTGTCTACCCTTCAGGCACTGAGGTATTACATCACTATTTATACAATAGAATTTGTTGGTGATTGGAAGGTTTTGATTGTTTTAGCATCTCGATCATTAAGTAGGAATATAATTATGTTAGCAAAATTAACAGGTACCAAAAAGTAGACTTTTACATTATTTCATGTTTCTGATATTGTCTGATCCCAAAATAACTACTTGATTAACTAATTTGTCTCATAAGAAATGTCTCTATGTAGGTCAGGATGAGATCATTTGAAAAATCCACTCCTTTGAGAACTTTTAAACCACCAGCACCAAAAAAAAAAAAACCTCATTTGAGAGCTGGAGTCGAATTATATGGTCATTTTAGTTCTCAGAATTTTAAGCGTGGATGGCTGGAATCATGTGCATGTGATAATTCTAGGCTACTCTCAATAAATAATACATGTCATTTCTGCTTCACTGAGACTGTCACTGACTGCTCTAAATGACTTTCAATGCAGGGCCCAGCCTGCTCTCCCAGAGTGCACTTCAGCTCAATTCCAAACCTGAAGGGTCTTTCCAGTATCCGGCCAGCTACCATAGCAACCAGACCCTGGCCTTGGGGGAAACCACCCCTTCACAGCTCCCGGCCCGAGGCACACAAGCCCGAGCTGCGGGCCAGAGCTTCAGCCAGGTAGGTACCCAGTGCTGTGTGGTATCAGTGGACTCCAAGGGGACAGGTGGGGAACGGGCATGCAGGGGATGTGAGATCCAGCCCGCATTTTCATAGGTGTGTCCCTCAACTTGAGGGAAGATGCCCTTTGGTGCTGTGAACGAAGGAAGGAAATAATAAAACATGATTATGGAGTCATGCTAAATTCTAAACATTTCCTTTAGAAATACCTGTGTGTTGTTCATGCTATACCTGTCTTGTATATGTTTCCCTGTGTGACTATGTCAGTGTGAGTCTAGTTACTCTTTCTGGGTCTATATGTGATATAAATATGACACACATTCTGAGTTTGTGAGTGTACTCAGAAAAAATACTGAGTATTTTGTCTCCTAAAAAAAGCATGGGATTTTTCTTTGGGGTTTTTGATTTTAATATTAAGAAACATACTATAAGCGTGTAATCAGGTAAACAGAACTGTTTGGAAAATAATTGTGATGAGTTTAGCTACAGTGACATTTTGTGAGGCCTGATTTTTAAATGTGCCTTCTATTGTTTATTTAAGGCATATGCTTGATCGTATAGTTTCACTGCACAAACACATTAGCTGCAGTTAAAACCAACTCTGTAAAAAGAAGCAGCTACCAATCTGGAAGTGATTTTTTTTTTCAAGAAAGATGTAAATGTTATTATATATAAAGGGAGGAGAGAGAGCACGCACATATTTTGGCTTTTATAATTTTGAGATACAAGACATATTGGATCATCCCACCAGAGTTAATTTATTGGAAGGCTGTCTTGTTTTAAGCTTATTTTCAGCAACATGAGCCCTTTTAACCTCTGTGCTTTTGTTTCTGGAATGAAGAGCTGCGAGCCCCACACCACGTTTTCAGCTGACAAAGTTAGTTTCAGCCCTTATGCACTTACTGAATGTTCTGAAATGTTCACTACGCACCACTGGCTCTGTAACCCCTGAGCCCGTCTCTTTCACCAATGTATTGATGTTATCCATCCATGCATCACTCTAACTAAACTGAAAGCTACTTGAGGGCAGGACTTTTTTCATCTTCATATCAGTAGTGCCTGGCAGGCCACATGTCCCCAAGAAATGAATGCAGAGGTGAGAGGCAAAGAGGGTTAAAACAGCCTGGTATGTTATGGGCACTACTGTGTGCCCATTTATGTGACATTAACATTATTGAAGCAGGAACTGAAAGTTTATTTGGATTTCCACTACTAAAATTAAATGATTATGCCAGAAACCATTTTGAAAATGCAATTACCTTCTTCCAGCAACATCCTTGTTCATCAGTGGCTTTGCGAGTTTTGCCTTCTCACAATGCTGAATGATAGGGATATGGGTAAGAGGAACTGATCAAACATTTCACTGAGATGAAGGGCCTGTCCCTCCACCCATATTCCACTTTGCTTTAAAGTTTAATCAGAAAGGGTTACTAAGTTATAAAATCATCAAAGCTCTATATTTGAAGTCATCAGAGTTATAGTTTCGAAGACATCGATAAATGTCAATGTTCAAAGATACAACTTAAGCTTGGGGAAAGGTTACTGGTAGACTCACTTACCTGGTAGTGGGTAGGATGCACAGGTCTGAATATTCAAACCAGAACTTGAAATGTTCTAATTTGCTCTGCTAACAGAAGGGAAGCCATTGTGGAATATCTGAACTCTCATTTATTTAGCTCAGTGGTAGATACTGGTACCATGATTTACTTCAGCCGTGTGCTGAAGTATGAAAGCCATGCTTATTGAATATTCTGTAGGGCCTGTGGCTTCAATGTAATGTCAGAGAAACGTTCAACAAATAAGCCAGCATTTTCACTCTGCTTTTAGTGCCATAACCCTTGAGAGAAGGGAGGCCGCATTCCATTCCAATAATAACACTATTGTTCACATCCTTCTATTTCAATGGTTTTTCAAAGTGTGTGATTCCTTCTTTTCAAAAGTCTTATCTGTGTTAAATCTTATTCCTTCAAGGCTAGGTTAATTTTTAGAATATCCTGTAATCATAAATTGCTATGAGGGCTAATGCAATTCAAATTCTGGCTAATGATGTCAGGCCAAGCAAGTATGGTCAGTAATCAATCAATACAAAAATCTTCTATTTTTTTGTCTAAAAAACTGTAATTCTAAAGTAAAGCAATGATTTTTTTAATCTGGTTCATAAATTTAAATGCAGTTTCAAAGGAGTATTATAAATGCTCAGAGATTCTAATTTCAGTATTTAAAAATATGTATTGAGCATAATAAATACTTATTCAGTGATCATCACCGGGATTTACCACAGGCCCTGATTATATGTGTGTAACCTGCATTCCCCAACTTATCAGCCCAAAAGTCAAACTGTAAGTCACTCAAATTGCCAAAATATTTGTTCTCTGATGCTACTCCAACTAAAATCCTTAAAAATCATTCTTCTGAGACTTAGGATGAGTTCATGGAGCTGGTCCAGAGGACAGAAAGTGGACTATCCTTCTTATCAGATCCCAATGCCATTCTAGAAAGTGACCTGAGCAGATTTATAGATATCCTTTCCACACTGCCAGGACTCTGCTCAGCTGTGCTGCCAGTTCCTGCCCCAGCCTCTAAACAAGTTGTATAGGTCTCTCCTCCACAGCCCCTGCTTCCTCCAGGTCAACCTTCATCTTGGTGTGTCTAGGTTGTGATGCATTCAAGATGTTTATCATGTGCCAATTGATGCCATGAGCCTTTATGCTTGGGATGGAGAAGTGAAGAAGAGAGACATGATCCCAGTCCTTAAGGAACTTCTGTTGTAGCAGCAGGGATGGAAACGCAGAAAACCAACACAGCAAATGAGTAAATTGCACAGTACAGCAGGAAGTGATGGTTTCTATGGGAAGGAAATGGATACAGAATAGGGTAAGCAAGATCCAAAGTGCACGGGGGAGTGCAGCATGAATGGGACCTCGAGGAGACTTTTGGGCAAATACATGGAGAAGAGGAAGGAAGCTATATGGCTCCCTCTGCACAGTAAATGCAGTGGCCCCTGGATGGGGCAGCCCATATGCTGATGGAGCAGCAAGGATGCCAGGGTGGCTACAGTGGGCTGCGGAAGTTGTGAGGTGATGGGAAACCAGCTGGGTCATTGGTAGGATCCCGTCTTTTACAGGGAGTGAAGTAAGGAGCCAGGAGAAAATTTCAAGCAGAGGAACAACATGACCTACCTTATGTGTTACGAGCATCATCTGTCATATAGTAAGTGATATCCTACAGTTAGTTGCACCTAAGTCTGTCTCTTCCTATTAGATTGCCCTGCTGCAAGAGTGAGAACAGTGCAAGACTTATCTCCCTTTCCCTCATAATTGACCCAGGGTTTACCAGATATCCATCAAGTTCTGCCAATGCCAGCCTGATGTTTTATAATTATTCTATACAGGTTTGTGGATGAGTTAGAAGATAAAGAGATTGGCTTTCCTCCAGGTTTTTTCTGCTTCCACTTACATAAAATTTCCATTGGATTATATGAAATGCTAAATATAAAGCTTCTGGAAAAGATGATCCAAAAACCAACTCTAAATATGTTGGTTTTGCCCATGTCCAAACATAAAATGTCTCACCAAGCATTTTGTCCCTCAAACAAAAAAAAAAAAAAAGAAACTACGCAAGAAATATGAAAATACACATCTGTAGACAGAGCGCTGGCAAAGGAGTACACGAGCCTAAAGACTTAAAAATCTTCGCATATTCTCTGGTAGAATTGAACAGTGCCCACAATTGCAATCTTAGGGAAATGACCTACTTGGTGTAAGAAATTAAGAATTGTATGATGATAGTTCTCTAAAATAAAACTGAACAGTGGTAGGTATTCTAGAAAAGCGATACACTTTGAGAAACAAAATTTCCTTTTCTTTTCGATCTGGCTTATCTATTTAATGTTGTGCTGACTTTTATGTCTTAAAAGTCCTCATTAATGCTATATCATAATCATAAATACACCATCTGCTCACTTCTTTCAGAGGGAAATGTGTTCATTGTGTTTAGAACATTGCTTATTGGTGCACACTCATGTCAGGTGGATGTGAAGGCCAAGGGGGTGGGGAAGTTGAAGGCAGAATAAGGTTCCCTGTAAACACCTATGTCCTGAGTGTTGAATAAAAAGGGTGGTTGGCTGGGCACAGTGGAGCACGCCTATAATCTCAGCACCTTGGGAGGCCGAGGCAGGTGGATCACGTGGTCAGGAGTTTGAGACCATCCTGGCTAACACAGGGAAAGCCCACCTCTACTAAAAATACAAAAAATTAGCTGAATGTGGTGGCATGTGTCTGTAATCCCAGCTACTCAGGAGGCTGAGGCAGGAGAATCAATTGAACCCGGGAGGTGGAGGTTGCAGTGAGCCAAGATCACGCCACTGCACTCCAGCCTGGGTGACAGAGCAAGACTCCATCTCAAAAAAAAAAAAAAAAAAAAAAGGTGGTAAAGGCAGCCAATATTACTTCATTCCTGTCTGCTTAATTAGGAAAGAAGTTCTTGGTAGGTAAAACTTGCAGAGAAAAGTCACCAATAATTTTGGAAAACATAAAAATTGCAGAGATTTTTAAAATGTAAATATATACATTATGCAACATTTAGAAGAGAATTCATATTGTTTCACATATTTCCCTTGGCATATTTGCAGACAAGTGGCACAGTATTTGTTTCTAAGATGGTTTTAGGATGACTATCTATTGTGAATCCCCATTCCTTGCTTTGCTTTAAAGTCTTTTCTCTCTATTTTCTCTTTCCAGGATAAGTGTATTTAGTTTGGCTTCAATAATGGAAAGCTTTCTCATTGCAGGGATGGTGTGTGTGTGTTTTGATATAACATTTTCTCTTCCAAGCATATATTTGGGCTATTACGGTTATATTAAATGAGCCTTTTGCTGAAATAAAGTTCTGTGTAGCATATTTTGCCAGTGCTCATGTAGGTTTTAAGAAAGAGTTGCCATCAAAAAATCTCTCATTACCTATTCTTCAAGATAAATTCATAGGATACTTATGTTGTTGTT